GCAGTATGCAGACCTGCAGCTGCGGGGAAAAGCACAGCTTTTAAATGTGCTGAATTTTTAAATGTTCTTATTGATTCTTTACAATCAATGTAAAGGACTGTGCACAGTCCTAGCACTTTAATACTAACAGTGTAACTATTTGTAACTATGTGCTACTGTAAGTACTTGCTGAGTAATACCCAAGTCCCCTTGAAGAGCGGGGCAATGATGCCAGCTCCTTACCTGCCTTCAGTCTTCCACTCTGTCCATTGTCCAGTTGCAAATTTATATTCAAAAAGATCGTTTTTATTCTTCAAGTTGGAATTGGAATAAATGTCTCCAGTATAGCCACCTGGGCAATAACAATTTTATTAGACTATTTCAAGAGAGCATATATACTTGTAGTCAATATATTAGAAGAAATTTAAGTTTACGTCACTCAAACAAAAGTTATTTGACTGCTGGAACGCTAAACATGGGAGGCTTGTCCTCCAACCTTACTTCTATCCCTAAAGAAATGCTACGGCACTGAGCTTCAAGTTTTCTTTACCTTAGACAAAAGAGTAAAGCTATTTCAAAGCTAAGGTCCAAATCACAGTCAACCACGAAAAACACCAGCTTTCCTATTGAATGAGATCCTCTTGACGCTCTGTAGGAAACACCTTGCTCTGTTTTAAGAGAGGACAGACACATCTATCGTCCCAAGGGCACGCAGCTGTAACCTGCCGCTGTCTTACCAAACACAAACATGCTGCTCCCATAGACCACAGCCGAATGGTGGTATCGCGGTGCTGGCGGCGTCCCCGTGGTAAAAGCCCTGTGCAACAGTTAGAACAGTGGCAATCAAACAACACTGTCGCGCTTCGGGCATTCAAAGCTGCTGTGCGGGTTCAACGCGGAAACAGGCGTTAAGAGTTATTCTACCGGTCGCGAGGGGGCATTTTCACTCTTTTTGGTTTAACTACGTGACCTAAGATCTGGTGCTAGACTAAGAGTGGTAAATAAAAGCTGCATGCTGGGGCCGGGGGGCTCGCCCTCCGCGAGGGGCTGTGCAGAGCCCCCAGCCGTTACACCCAGCATAACGGCGCCGCGGGGGGCCGAGGCGTCTCGCAGCC